GGGAAGCCGAGTGTTAGAGGAAAGGAAGGTAAAGATGAGGGAAAGGGGAAAAGGGAATGGAGTTGATCAGCTTGTAAGTTATTTTCATTCATCTGTTTGCTGGTCTAATTTTTTAGTTTTTTGATGCTAAGCTGCTGCTATTCAGAGGTATTTTTATTCACAATTGAAACAACACATGGTTGGATGACACTAAAAGAAAAGGAGTAAAACGGAGAGCTGCTAGTAAAAGTGGCAACTTTGCTTAGACAATTAAAGTGGAATAAAACAGGAAAAGAAAATAAGGACAAAAAGAATTAGAATCTTCTTTAATATACTTGATTTTTAAAACAATTTTTTTTCTAAAGCTTCTTCTTTTTGCACCTTATCATTTTTTTAGCACAAAAGAAACGCGAAGAAACTGAAGGAGAAGTGTGGAAAAGGAAAAACAACAGCAAGAAGAAGCAGAAGGACAAATAGAAGAGGAAGGAAATTGTAAAAAAGAGCAACAATAGCCGATAAAGCAGAACAAGAGAAAAAGGCAAAAAAAAGTTGGGAAGAAAATTTTTCAGGAAGAGGCTTAAATTCAATGTTAGAAGTTATAACGTCGTCGAATTCTGGTCTCAACAAAACCGATAACGTTAACTTATACAGCCTTGATCCAAATTTTTTCATGGATAACTTTGATGGGTTAGCAGCTGATGAGTATAATCTTTAATTATTTTTTATTCTCATTATTTGTCATTAATACAATTAACATTTTGGACTTAAAAAATATCGGCTTTATATGATAGGTGTTTAGCAGAGAAAAATTCAGGAAGGGAAGATAAAACAGTTTTAGAGTTTTTTTCATTCCCTTCTAACTTTCAGACTGTTGGAATGTTCTACTTCTGAACGTTCACAGTTACAATTAAGATTGTCGTTCCTATTGCCATATAGTGTTATTATTTTCAAAGCCAAAAATCTTTTTACTGTCTTAGATTTTTTCTTCAACATTATCTTTCTCTCCCTCTTCCCACAAAAAATAGCATTGATATATTTGGTAATATCTGCTGCTCTCTATCAATACAATTATTTTTTTGTACTTTTACAATAATAACGTTAAAGACCGATGGTGGTGATGATGATGATCGTAGCGTTGCAGCCAGTATTCTTTTTTTTTTCAGCCTCTTATTCTTTTTCAGTGGTTTTCCAACAACATCGGTGGAAGGCAGAAGCTTTCAACAGGGCACATCTGACCGTCATAATCTAACATCAACAGCTACGTCTTCATCATCACCGGGCGATTTACTGCTCATCTATCAACCGTTTCAACAAGAACAACCCCATCACCATCACAGTCATCATCATCATCAACCACAGGAACAAAGACAACAACAGCAACAGAAACAACAACAAAAACAGGAGCAACAAGAGCAGTTACAAGAACAGCGACGTCAACCAGATATTCAACCATTTACCGAACCACCAACACCGTCGTCGTCGTCTGCTAGTGGGCAACAGCCACCATTGTTTCTTCGTCGCGAAAAATCTCCAACATTGCTTCAGGTGCCTGAACAAACCCTATTACGAGTTCAACCACCGCCTGAATTAACCCACCCAGGTGAACCGACGTTTTTACAAACGGCCGAAGCATCATCATCGTTACTTCAGCCTCCAGAAACTGCACAAATTTTTAATAACGCTGAACCATCATCATTACTTCAAGTATTGGACTCGACGTCATTTCTTCATAGCGGTGAACACTCCGATTACGTACACGGTTCTGACTCGTCACCATTTAATGCTTCCGATTCGGCACCGTTGTTTCCTAGCGTAGATCCATTACAGTTATTACATTCACCGGAGTCGTCATCGTTGCTGCAACCATCCGACTCAACTTCACTGTTACCAATTTCAGAACCATCATCATTACTTCAAACACCGGAACCGTCATCATTGCTACAGGTTCCAGAAACATCAGCGTTACTTGACGCTTCAGAACCATCGTCGTTATTCCAATCTCCAGATTCATCATCACATTTGCTTCATACGCCAGAATCATCACCAACGCTGGAATCATCAGAAGTGAAACCGTCAATTGTTCCTAACAATCCTTCGGATTTGTCGCAGATATCGCAGTCAATAAGTGTGGTTGCTCATCTGACAGAAAAATATGCGAAAAAAAGGAAAGAAAAATCTGGACGTAAGTATTTTAATTTTTCTCACATAGAATAGAAAACATCTGTCCCCAAAAAAAACTTGTTCTTTTAGCATTGCTGCTGTCAGTACTACAGTTGATATAATTACGTTTATTAGTGTTATTGTCACTATTATTATTATGACATTTTTTTCATTTTTATTATTATTATTTTCGTTACTATTATAGCTAGAATTACTACCGTTGTTTTATAATCTATTTTTTTTTTTAAATTTTTAATGATTAAGAAGTTGAGCAAGAAACAACAAAAGAGTAGGATAGAGGGGAACAGGAAGGGGAGGTAAAACCAGGAGACTCGAAAGCAACATTTGTTTTTGAGACAGGTTTTATTCAGCGTTTTATTTACACTTTCTTTTTTCCTCTGTTTCTCCTTTTTTTTTTCACTTCTCCACGTGTTTCTCGTATGTGCAGTTTCTGTTCCCTGAGAAAATCTTAAATCGATGTCTCTATAAATATAAATGTGTATATCAAACATAATATATTTACATTCTATATATATATAATGTAAATATATGTAATAAGAATATGTAAGCGCTGAACAGAAAAGAAATAGTCATATTTATCAAAATGAGTGATTAATTATTAAGATCTCCTAGATGTCTGTGGGTTTTTTTTGCCTTCGCTTTTGCATTGCCGTTGTTATGTTCAGTTTAGTTCCCTTAGAAATTGGCGCTTATTTATATACGCGGACAAAAAAGGAATTTTTTGCTTTTAGATCTTTCATTTTTTGCACCAAAATTGTCCTTAAAATACCAAATAGCCACAAATATACAAATGTGCAGGTTTCTGTCTTTTTTTTTCTTCTTCCTTTTCGTTTTCCCTTACCTCTGCAGTCCTTGTCGCTTTTCGACATCTTCTTTGTCTTTTGTGTCTTCTTTCTTCGTCTGTTATTTTCATATTCGCACAACTGCTGAATGCCACAAAAATTTGTACTGCTACGTATTCTTCAAATAAGTACTACTTTTTTAAAGAGGAGTGGTTTAAAGAGGGAAAAGAATTTTTTGTTCTCCTTAATTCTGTCACTTCCATACATGACAGTTTCTGAAAAGGGAAGATGGAAACTAGCAGCAACGATAGAATGAAATTGGACAAATCTATATTATACATGTACTTCTACGTAATTCATATATATATATATATAT